TATCCGCAATATTTGCATGGTAATTGTCCGGGAATCATCTAGCGTCGCCGTAGGAGAGGCCATGCAGGGGCTGAGCCAATCTTGTAGAGGGAGCTTTCGGACCGAGAGAACAAACTATATTTTTACGTCATCAAGTGCCGAATAGTCATTGAACGCCATGGTGCTTCCGAGAATCGGTCACCTAATATCGGAGCTTCATGCGCTTGAAAGCACTTACGTACGGCAGCTACACTAGGAGCATGGCTTCTCAAAGCCAAACAGATTATCGAGTGGCGTCCGACTACGATCTTATGTACGTTTAAAAAAAGGGTGTTATTTGTGTAGGTTTTATATAGAACAATATAAATATTTATTTCAGACACTGACAAATAACGATGTACATTTGTGTTTAGGAGGGCGACAAAAAGGCACAAATGCCTGACTGAGTGTCAAAATCTTATCTAGACACAACTTGAAAATATTTGCCTTGAAAATTGGCGCGGAGGGAGTTACATAAAATACATATTCAATAACTTTGAAAAAACGTTTTTGTGGGACATGTAGGTTATTATTTTTTGTGGTTGTTCCCATACAAGAAAGCGGTACAGTAAATGGGAATGAATTAGTGCGTCATATATTTGAATTCTTAAGTGACACGGCAAAATTTGTTTAACTATTTGTAATAGCTATTAATCGTGCGATGGGTCTTGTAAGATTATCAACATGGGGGGACAATTCGAGATTTTCTTCGAACATAACAGCAAGAAATTTATGTGTTTTCGCGTGCTCAATAATTTTAACTCACAATCCCAAGTATGCGTTTTTCGTGACATTTATTTCGTGAGCAAAAAGTTATATATATAATTTTCTCGGTATTTAATTTCAGCTGATTTACATTAGGCCACCCTGACAGCTTGCTGAGCTATTTATTGGTCTGGGACTGAACAAATCTAATTTCTCTCCTGAAGAGAATACATTTGTGTTATTGGCGTAAAGTATTTTGCCGGGCTGAATGAAACATTTGCTATTATATTTATTATAATAAAGAAGTGGTCCAAGAATAGAACCGTGAAGAATGCCATATTTGATTTCCACCAAAACTGATTTTGAATTATGAGTGTCAGTGTAATGGAAGTGTTTTGTCAAATAACTATGTATCAAGTCAAGATCAAGTCTCCGAATACCATATACACTTAATTTTTTTAATAAGATGCGATAAAGAATAGAGTCAAAGCCTTCCGAAAGTCAGAAAATATCCCTAGAGCATACGACTTGTCTTCAAAATTCTGAATGATTTTTTCATAGTTGTGCTATTTCACTAGACCTTCCTTTGGTAAAGCCATGCTGATTATCTGCATGGCATACTATTTTTAGTGTAGAGTTTTTGTAATTCTCAGTAATTTGTTCAAGAACTTTTGAAAATAATGGGAATACCGGAATCGATCTGTAGCTGATCATATCAATCCTATCACCTCCTTTAAAGATAACTGATACTCTTGCAATTTTTAGTTTATCAGAGAACACACCTGAAGTCATAATGAGGCTACATATATATGACAAAAGATTGCTGATGTGGTCTACAACCACTTTTGTCGGCTCGGCTTTTATCTCCACCTCACCACATGCGGACACCTTTTTTTAGTTTCAGCATTTGAGCTTTAATCTCAACTTTCAATGTAGGCTTCTTTAAAAGAGACTTGTAGGCTTCTTAAAAAGAGTCTATCTCGTTTCTTCATTCGACGAAGGAGAGCCTACTATTCCTTTTTCTTCCTTTGTTAGTTGTTACAGAAAATGCTTCATTATAATTTTTAAGGTTATTGGTAAAATAACCTTAAGGAGCTACCGGATCTATTAACTGATGAAGATAAGGCCATGCAATTTCACTAACAGACGTTTCGAAAGCAGCAATATTGGTTTTGTAATTGCTTCTAAATTTGCAAGCTTGATTTGCATGCATTCGATGTGTTTTTTAGTGAGGGTTGATAACAAAAATAGGCATGTGATCCCTTACATCAGATATCAAAACACCAGCTTCTATGACAATGATGCGGCTCTAAAATTACTCAGATGGCCTTCCGTAACTATAGACATCAATTATGTTTTCGAGGAGAGCATAAACTGAGGAGACTGTGCTTGTCCTGTTCTGTGCGCCTAGTTTCTGCTATCATGACTAATGGCTTACTAGGTGCATCGTCACCATTTTGAGGTTATCCTCTATTAAGTTCTACAAACTCGACAGGGTGATATGACAACCCGCAGTGGGATTTGGGTGCACGTTAAAGAACCCCAGGTGGTCAAAACTTCCGGAGCCCTCCACTACGGCGTCTCTCATAATCATATGCTGGTTTTGGGGCGTTAAACCCCCCAAATCAATCAATCAACCAGCAGTGGTGATGGAATACAAAGTACGAAGTAGGATAAATATGCAAATTCAATCAAACCCAAGTAAGTAGTTTTAGCAAAAAAGGAACCGTATATTTGCGACCAATTTGTGAGAGATTACAAAAAGGGAAAAAAAAGTCCCACTCTTCCATGAAGGCAACATCGCGTGATCAATCGAACGATTATTTTTTTTATTAAAAAGCCAAGGCAGCATTGCGCTCCTTTTCAAGTTGTAAAGAGGGAAGTGGGGCGTACTCCGTTTTAACGGAGCACCACCAGCTGCAGTTGAGCCTTTTATTAGCCTTCAAAACACTGGTCTATTCCGGTTACCCTTACTTCACATCATGCGTCAATCATCTTTTTTTTTATCCACGTGGCTGTCCTTTTTTGTGCTTAAATTGTCGAGTACATACGTTGTCTCTGAGCATGTGCCTAATTGCCAAGAAGTATGTTGTATCAAAAGAATATTTCAAACTGTCAAACTCTGCAATAGCGCTGAACAAAAAGAACTATCACAGGGGATCGTTTCGAAGCATTTGTTGGTGGAGTAACAGATGATAACTTGATGCTGTAATCATCTCGCTCAAGAACACGTAAAAGAATATTGTACGGAATTTGATTTGTATTATTTATCTAAAAACAGTGTAAATCAGGATAAAAACTTGACCGATATTTAACGCCCATGCACCAGAGCATCATCCCTTCGAATGTTTGGTCACACAATTTTCCACGAGAGTACAAGAACTTAGGCGAGATACAAGTGACCTATTGTTCCGGTAATTGCAAAGGTTGATATTGAAGATTTTTTTTTCATGTCTAGCCGGAATAGACGTTTATGTCCCGTGGTGGATTACAGGGTTTCGCAGAATTTTTGGTACTGAATACAAGAACACGCCTACATAAAACGTTTTTTGGCAAATCGCCTTGTAAGAACAGTAGACTCAAATGAAATAGACTTTTTTTTATATTCTGGAAGGAAGGAGAAAAACAACAAGAGGAAAGATGGGGAGGTTAACCAGGAAGAAATGAAGTAATAATACTGATTGTTGGCCTAGTTGGTATTTACTTAATGGCATGATTTGGCCGCAAAAGAGACACACACAAGAAAAGGACACTCAAACGACAAGCACAGGCGCCTGTGCTTGTCGTTTGAGTGTCCTTTTCTTGTGTGTGTCTCTTTTGCGGCCAAATCATGCCATTAAGAAATGAAGTACCAGGTATATCTAGCAATACATAAAAGGTTCTTATTCTGACTACACGTGGCAAAATATTTCTTTTAGCAGACAAAAAAAGAAAAAGAACAGCTAAAAAACCTAAGTAATTTACGGGATGCGTGAGAAGGACAACTAAGAACGTGCACACGTGAACATTCTTATGAATTCAAGAGCTCGATGAACAAAATTAACAGGAATCAAACTACTTGGTTTTCAAAGATATTCAGTTGAGTAACCACTTGTTTTATTACATCATCCATTGGAATACCAGCAGGGCTCGTTGAAAACTTAAAAATAACTTCTGTGCCTTCTTTAGCGACAAGAAAATACACTAGTTATTTTTTTACAGTATACCGAAGTCCTCATGATCAAAGAGATGGGAAACTACACAGTTAAAATTCATAAAAACAATTGGCGCCGTAAGGCAGAGATGGTCAGAGAAAATTGAAACGAAGCATACATCCGGTATATCTAAATGTTTACGTTCATAAATGCAGTCGCTGCCGTAAGGCAAAGCAGCTCGCCATAAAAGGAAACAAAGTATTGACACACGGTAACGTGTTAATATAGCAAGATAATATAGCTACCTGGAGAGTGACGCATATACAGGATCAAATAAACCAAAGAACACAAATAACATACCTCTCCTCTTAAAAATAATACTTTCATGCTAGTGTGCAAGAAATAACAGGCACATGTAGAAAAAAAAAGGCTCGCCCCGAAATACGTCATGATCATGACGGACGCTGAACGGGAAATTTCGTATAAATTTGGACCAACTACGGTGCACCTAAGTCAACGTGCAGGGGCTCTCCGTCCCCGTCAAAGTACTCGGGAATGGAGACAAACCCACGCGCTTCAGATTGCATGAAGCGATGTGCCTAAAGCCTGTGGCTTAGCGAAATGTGGTAAACCATACTTCATTCAGATTACATGTAGCGATGCGCCTAAAGCCCGTGGTGCAGCGAAATGGGGTAACCCATACTTAGCGCCGTCACTGGCGTAACCAAGCAGGCTTGAACCCCCTTCTGCCTCCACACTCCCCCGGAAAAATATGTCTAGGCACCTGCCTAACACGGTAACCTACACCGTTAAGCGCAACCTTCCCTTCAGGCGAGAATCAACACCACTTGCAAATGCAGCTGAAAATATCTTTTTTTTCTTCTGTTGGATACTTTCGTCTAACGCTATCGAAATTATTTTTCTAGATAACTGCGCAGCAGACGTGACACACGGAAGGAACGGAACGGGACATACAAGCGCTCATCCGCCGTTCCATTGTCTGCTGCGCAATTTGCTAGAAGACGAAGCCATACACACTCGCCGAGCTTTCAACACTCGTTAGGCTAACGAGAAATGCAATTCCGAAACAACTCACCCGTTAGCGCTGAAGCTCACAAAAGTGGTGTCGAAGAAATGGCGCACCTTTCCATGTCAACCACGGCGTAAGACACCCGCTGGCCAAAATGGCGTCGAATCTCGACTTGAGCGTACGAACGCTGTCGACCAGACAGTGCGGCAATGGTACAGTACAGTCTGGTGCGATTTGAAGGTTATCTCGCGAGCGTCGACCGTCCAAGCATCCAGAGGCCCTGGCGGAACGTTTTGGAGAAATAAAAATCAAGATTTTGCTTTCTTTTCTCCCTAGTTGGCTGTTCTATGCTACGACAATCTCCCCGTCGACGAACTCGTCGCCCCCTTTCTCTCTATTCTAAGTGTTCCATTCGTTGCGATCAAGCGTGACTTGGTAGGCTGTTATCTTACCGCACGACAACAACGTTAGTGGGAAAGCTCTTGTCAACATTCATTTGAGTGACGTACTATGTCGAGCAAAATATAAGCATCGCATCGTAATACTGACTTCACTAGCCAATAGAATTGCGCCAAACGTTTTCGCACAGGGGTGTCAATGCTTCAATGCTGGATGTGACCCCAGACCAGATGTCGCAAGAAAATGCCTCGATGGCTTACATTATAGGAACACCGTGAGATTATTTATTTGGGAAGGTTTATGTCCCAGCGAAAGATTTCCCGTAGGCTGAGTCGGCCTCAGAAGACAATCAACCGCATTCTTCGAGGATTTTACCAGGAAAACCGCTTGGGAGATGCACCACACCAAAGGAGGCCTAAAAAAACAACTGAGGAGGAAGATGCCTTGATAATAGCTGCCGTGGTCAAAGACCCTTTCTCGACAACAAAGAAAATTAAAGAAGATCTTGGCCTTCCCCTCAGTATTTCGGCTATCCGAAGAAGACTTCGTGCTGCCGATCTGAAAAGCCACGTGGTGGCTAGAAAGCCGCTTTTGACCAGTGAACATCGAAGGAAATATTTGGACTTCGTGCGTCAGCACGAGCATTGGAGGGCTGCAGACTGGCAGCAGGTCATCTTCAGTGATGAATTGACGTTCACCTCTTGCTGGTGCGACTTCGTGTTTGGAGAGTCCGTGGCAGCGGTGAGGTTTATACTGCTTGTGTATCATTTCACACAGACAACGGTTCGGCACCGCTCTTAGGTTTAGGAGCGTACTCATAATCATCATAACCCGCAGCAGCATAACCCTGACTAACCTAACTGCAGCAACAGTCTCTCCCATACTACTCTAGATAACCCGGTCCTGTTGCCGACCATGCATGGCCCCGTAATTCACTCGAGCTTCCTAATCTCATCCGTCTACCTGATTTTCTGCTTGCCGAGCTGTGGTTGCCTTTTTTTGCAATCCACTCTGCTACCATTAATTACAATTGATTATCCTCCTCTCTCATTTCACGTTCGGCCCACTTCCCCATTTCGACTAGTCAGTAACTCACGTTTTTCTCTGACCCATTATGCCATTTTTGTGGCTCGACGAAAGGGTTTTTACATAGTTACCACGCTGTGAATGTTGTGCGTAGAAAACGGATTTATTGTTTTTATTGCAGGTACGAGCATGAAAACATTCGCAGTGTCGGTGCAAGCGGGCGTGTATCGGTCAACGTCTGGGGCGCAATAACATATGCCGGTCTGGGTCCGCTCTTCCGCATCCCCGGAAGACTTACGGCCGAAGTCTACGATGAGATCACCGACGATGTTCTCCTACCTTTCGCCATCAATGGACCATTTCCTGGCGGATGCTTTTATTTCCAACACGATGGCAGTCCTGTTCACAATGTATCCACAGTGCAAGAAAATTTAAATGCTTCTGGCATTGCACAGCTCTGCTGGCCTCCGTAAAGCCCTGACCTCAGTATCATCGAGAATGTTTGGGGACTAATGAAGGCCCGATTGGCTCGCGCCAATTTGACAAAATATGACGCAGACACTTTAAGGAAACATGTTGAGATGCAGTGGAATGCTCTCAAACAAGACCCTCATTTGGTGAAATCTCTGTTTGCTTCTATCCCGAAAAGGCTAAAAGACGTGAAAAAGAGCTCGGGTGGCATATCGATGTATTTAGTTGTAAGCACTAAATGGGCTGTAACAGTGAGTTTAGAGAGACCTGTGAGTTTTTTCGTCTCCAATAAAGAATGTTGGATATTATTCCTGTAGTGTCTGCAAAAAACATCTCATTTTCAGAAGTTCCTTTGTTATGATGATTAAAAAAAGTCATGCTCTCTCGTCCGCAAATCGCGATGCCCTGAGTCCCTCAAACTTCTAGACGACCATGAACCAAAAATAAAACTTGTTTGAAACAATCCTTCTTTCTATTTCTTTGTCAAATACGCCACTCTGCGAAACAAAAAGCAAAATTAAAACTGAAGAGAGCCCGCACCTTGTGTAGTCATCACGGGAAGTGTTTGCCACGGCAGCAGTGACGTAATGCACACGCTAGATGCAGCCTTCATGCCGTCCGATTACTGATAATAGCGAAGAATGCGTTGCATGAAATACCATCCCCTTCTATTATCGGAAGCCAGTAAAGAAAAAAAAGAAATAAAAAACACCTTCCTTGGACGGGAGTGACCGCAGTTTCGGGAACAGCAAGAAAGAGTGAGGGAAGCTTGCCTACTGCTTGCCTCTCCTGAAAAAAAAAAAGAATTCTGGGCCGTGGCACTGTTCTCGCTCTTGGTCGACGCTCGCGCGATTACCTTCATATCGCCCCCGACTGTGTACATCCATTACCTGGCGAAAGCATCCGATGTCTATCGCAGACCCGACGAACTTTCCAAGATGAGACAGGTTTATCGGGTTCATCTCCGGTAACTATAGCAACCGGAGCATTGCCTGAACTACGAAATCTACACCGCTACTTTAAGCGACTGAAAAACGGTCGAAAACTTATCGACAGCTTTGGTCAGGTGAGCCGAGTTGGACACGTGATCGCCTATCGCAGAATCCGATTTTCGGTGGACACCACGATTGCGATAACATGAGAATATATCTTTTCGGTGTCGGTGCTTCGTTGTGGCTACGAAAAAAGTGCTACCGCCATTTCCCTTACGGGCGCGGGTCGTCTCTGCTTTGAAGTGTGGCAGCTTGGGCTAGTTGGTATGGCATAACGATAGTTATAGCGCGAGAACAAAACGACGACACAGACACAAGAAGTGTTTTTCGTGTCCTCCTTGTCTGTGTGTCGTCGTTTTCTTCTCGCGCTATAACTATCGTCTCTGCCTTGTTTGGGCGAAGCCACTTGCGAAGGTTCTGACCAAGTAAATAAAATTGGAGTGAGCTTAAATTCCCCAAATGCTGAGAAGTTTACGAGGAAGGACCTGGTAAAGTTCTCTGGAAAATTCGCTCTTCTATGGTCCTTTATCCGTGATCACATCAAGTACACGGGCCTTAAAACTTTTCTTTGACGATGGTACCGTCGCAGCACTTAACAATTGCATCCATGGTCTCACACAGCTACTTCAGAGTTCAAGGTAATAATAATAATTGGGTTTCAACGTCAAAAAACCAACACAAAATCACCATAGACGCCGCCAAAGATGGCTACGGAAATTGCGACAACCTAAGGTTTTCTAAGTGTCTCTAAATCTAAGCACACGATCTTCAAGGATTTTCGCTACCATCGTAAGTGCGCCGCCGGCGCCCAGACTCATTATCGAGACCTGCGGGTCAGCTGCCAATTGCTTTAATTACTAGACCACAGTGGTGGGTCAGAAGTCGAGGTTGCAAACTCATATTGGTGCAGTTTTATTTGGTTCAACATTGAGAGTATGCGCATTCTTTCGCCTTAAATTTTCAGTCTGTGTGCAAGGCACATAAAAGAGCCTGCTACAACATCTCAAACAGGATGATATAATTATTGTGTTGGTAAAGTTATTCGCACTTTCGTAACGTACCGATATGCGCATAAAATTGGAATTAAAAGCGGCGTGGTAGAAAAACTGTGGCTGACATTTCCTGAGCCTGGAGAACACAGATGACAAAATGAAAAAAAAAAACATATGACACAGTTTGCATTTTAATGTACGTGTCGCATTCCGCCACATATACTTTCTCAAAAGCCTTTGCAGGACTAAAAAGTATTGGTCGCGTAGCGTTTCGCACTGTGAAAGAGTTGTTACCATCATCATCATCATCATCAGCCTGACTACGTCCACTGCAGGACAAAGGCCTCTCCCATGTTCCGCCAACTAACCCGGTCCTGTGCTTGCTGCTGCCAATTTATACCCGCAAACTTCTTAATCTCGTCAGCCCACCTAACCTTCTGTCTCCCCCTAACCCGCTTTCCTTCTCTGGGAGTCCAGTTAATTACCCTTGACGACCAGCGGTTATCCTGTCTACGCACTACATGCCCTGCCCATGTTCATTTTCTCTTCTTGATTTCAACTATGATATCCTTAACCCCCGTTTCTTTCCTAATCCACTCTGCTCTCTTCTTGTCTCTTAAGGTTACACCTACTATTTTTCTTTCGATTGCTCCCTGCGTCGCCCTCAATTTAAGCTGAACCCTCTTTGTAAGTCTCCAGGTTTCTGCTCCGTAGCTAAGTACCGGCAAGATGCAGCTGTTATATACTTTCCTCTTGAGGGATAATGGCAATCTACCGGTCATAATTTGAGAGTGCTTGCCAAATGTGCTCCACCCCATTCTTATTCTTCTAGTTACTCCAATCTCGTGTTTGGCTCCGTGGTTATTACCTCTCCTAAGTAGACATCGTAATTTACAACTTGAAGTGCACTATTACCTATCTCGAAGCGCAGTTTTTTTTCGCGAGGTTGTTGTACATTACTTTCGTTTTCTGCAGATTCATTTTAAGACCCACCTTTCTGCTCTCCTTGTCTAACTCCGTAATCACGAGTTGCAATTCGTCCCCTGAGTTACTCAGCAATGCAATGTCATCGGCCAAGCGCCGGTTACTAAGGTACTCTCCATTAACTCTTATCCCTAACTGTTCCCATTCTAGGCTTCTGAAAACCTCCTGTAAGCAAGCGGTAATAATAGCATTGGGGAGATTGTGTCCCCCTCCCTTACACCCTTCTTGATTGGTATTCTGTTGCTTTCTTTATGATGCACGATGGTAGCAGTTGATCCCCTGTAGATTTCTTCCAGGATGTTTATATATACTTCATCGACGCCCTGATTCCGCAGTGTCTGCATGACGGCTGATATTTCTACTGAATCAAACGCCTTCTCATAATCTATGAAGGCTATGTATAGTGGTTGGTTATATTCTGAGCATTTCTCTATTACCTGATTGATAGTATGAATGTGGTCGATTGTTAAGTAGCCTGTTCGAAATCCCGCTTGTTCCTTTGGTGGATTGAATTCTAATGTTTTCATTACTCTGTTAGCAATTACCTTTGTAAATAGCTTGTACCCTACAGAGAGCAAGCTAATCGGTCTGTAATTCTTCAAGTCCTTGTCATTTCCTTTTTATGTATTAGGATGATGTTAGCGTTCTTCGAAGACTCTGGTACTCTTCCCGTCAGGAGACACCTCGTAAACAGGGTGGCTAGTTTTTCTTACACAATCTGTCCTCCATCTTTGAGCAGATCTTATGTTACCTGATCCTCACCAGCAGCTTTGCCTCTTTGCTTGCTCTCCAAAGTTTTTCTGACTTCTTCTATCATTACTGGTGGCGTGTCATCTGGCTTACTGCTAGTTCTTATAGTATTAAAGTCATGGTTCTCCCGGCTACTGTAGAGATCTCTGTAAAACGCCTCCGTTATTTCAACTATCCTATCCATATTGGTAGTTATTTTGCCTTCTTTGTCCCTTAGTGCATACATCCGATTTGTGCCTATCCCAAGTTTCCTATTCACTGCTTTGACGCTTCCTCCGTTTTTCAGAGTGTGTTCAATTCTCTTCATGTTATACCTTTTTACATCGAATACCTTACGCATCTTTATTAACTTTGAAAGTTCTGCCAGTTCTAATTTGTCTGTTGTACTTGACACTTTCATGCTTTGACGCTTCTTAATGAGATTCTTCGTTTCCTCGGAAAGCTTGCCAGTGTCCTGTCTAACTACCCTGCCTCCAACTTTCACTGCACACTCCGTAATGATACTCGTCAGATTATCATTCATTGTATCTATGCTAAGGTTGGTTTCCTCGCTAAGAGGCGAGTACCTGTTCTGAAGTGAGACTCTGAATTCCTGTACTTTCCCTGTCAGTGCTAGCTCATTGATTGGCTTCTTGCGTATCAGTTTCTGTCGTCCCTTCCTCAAGTATAGGCGAATTCGAGACCGTACCATTCTATGGTCACTGCATCGTACCTTGCCAACCACTTCCACATCCTGAACGATGCCTGGGTGTGCACTAATTATAAAGTCTATTTCGTTCTTATTTTCGCCATTAGAGCTCCTTCATGTCGACTTGCGGTTTCCTCGTTTTAGGTAGAAGGTATTCAAAATCCGTAAATTATTGCGTTCTGCGAATTCTACTAGTTGCTCTCCTCTGGCGTTTTTAGTACCGATTCCTTAATCTCTTACTGCCTGGTCTCCAGCATGCTTCTTCCATACCTCTGCATTAAAGTCTCCCATCAGTATTGTATACTGTGTTTTTACCTTACTAATTTCCGATTCCACGTCTTCATAGAAGCTCTCAACTGAAGCGTCATCATGGCTTGATGTAGGCGCGTAAGCCTGCACCACCTTCATCTTGTATCTCTTATCCAGTTTAATCACGATACCTACCACCCTTTCATTAATGATATAGTAATCCTGTATGTTGCCAGCTATGTTTCTGTGAATTAAAAACCCCACTCCCAGTTCTCTTCTGTCAGCCAATCCCCGATAGCAAAGGACATGCCCATTCTGTAGCACCGTATAGGCCTCATTTGTCCTCCTAACCTCACTGAGCCCTATTATATCCCAATTAACACCCTCTAGCTCCCCGAACAGTACAGCTAGACTTCCCTCACTAGATAAGGTTCTAGCATTAAACGTTGCCAAGTTCAGGTTCCAATGGCGGCCTGACCGGATCCATAGATTCTTAGCAGCCTCTGCTGCGTTGTAGATCTGACCACCACCGTGGTCAGTTGCTTCGAGGCTGCTGGGGATTGAGGGCCGTGAGTTATTTGGCGTATGCATGTGGGGGGTAGGGGCCAGATACTGCACCAGGGTGGCCAATCCTTCTCTGGTGAGAGACTGCGTTACCGGCGGTGCTAACCGGTGAGGCCGCACCCCAGGCATCGTAATGCAGTTCCATCACCACGCGGATTTTTTTTTATCCGGTTGGGAACTGCGTGGCACCGCGATTTGAACCACGGAGCTTTTGCATGCAAGGCGGTTGCTCTAACTACTACGTCATCGGTGCTCCCATTTGTTGTTACCATTTAATTATTATTTCCGAGACGACAGACAAAACTTTATTCAGTGCCACAGGATCACTACCTCAAGTAGGTAGAGCGATGGGCCGCTTCCACGTCGGAACGGGTAGACCGAACCTCACGGCCGCGTCGTTGGTCTTCTGGGCAGCCCTAAGTTGATTTGCAAGTTTTGAGCTCCTGAGCGCGGCGCTCCATTCGCCATCGGTTATGGCCGGATAATTGCGTAATGAGAAGCACTGCCAGAGCATGTGGTCTAACGTAGAGTTTAGAAACACTCATGGTAGATGAAAGCAGCCAAAGTATTGGTCATATTTAAGAATGGTGATGCTATATTGGCCAAACATGTCGCAACGTTATGGGCTTTCCACAATCCAACCTTCTTAAGGGTCTGCTGTTGTTCCAAATCTTGGCTGCTGTTTACCTTACTCGTTTAAAAAAAATCGCGAAAAATTCGCCACACACAGACATGAAGGAAAC